GTGTATGATTTCTACCATCGTAACATTTGTGCGGCTCCTTGTACTATGGGTGGGTCGGTGGGCATTATATTACTCATTTATCTTGAGTACTCATTTCTTATCAGGATTCACTTTTGATGATAAGCAGCGGCCTGAAGCTACAGCGTCTGCGCCACAACGTCCTCCAAGCTCTAAGAAGAAATCCAAGAAGGGAGGTAAACAAGAGGAGGCAGGGGCGGAAGAAGATTCCGGTTCCGTGGAAGGTGCAGTTGGTAGTGTAGCTGGAGGTGGTCGCTATGATAACCTGGTTACCCTCTTCACTCCTAACTCGCCCAAGGTGCCCTGCGTAGGTGTGAGCTTCGGCATTGAGCGTCTCCTGGCTATCTCAGAGGTGTTGGCTCGTCGACGTACTGCAATCGGTGATACTAGCGACTCCACTACTATGCGGGCCACTGAGACTGAAGTAATGGTCATAGTTGCACACAAAGGGCTCATAGCACCTCGCCTTCAACTGGCTCAGGAGCTATGGGATGCCAAGATTAAGGTAAGCGCCACCCCTTACAAGTTCATTTTACTGTCCATCGCCTTAGTTCAGACATGAGGAGTTGGCTCTCAGCAGGGGCATGTCTATCCAGCATTTACTCCAACGACCCTAATGTTTCGTGCTCAAGGATGGCTGGCCGATTTCCCATCCTCGATGAAAGCTCCAATTCCCTAACGCTATTTCTTTCTTATTTGCTATCCGGAAGAATATGTTGCATTCCACCCGTCAGAGTTGGGTACTTTAGTGTCCAAAGTCAGGAAAATGCAGGACGCTTATTGTCTTGGGACTTGAATGTTTAACGCTTACTTTATCCCTCTCGTTCTTTGGACCTGGAATGCTATGCAGTGATTTTGTCAGGGACAGGGTTATCATCCATCTATCAGTGCTTTTGGTTTTGCGTCTTTCATTTACCATCAATATTGTTTAGACTTTTGTTAATCCTGTTGTCATTTCAGTTATTGTTTGTTTTGAGTTGAATGATAGAATGGAAACACACTTGGATTATATCCATCCAAGTTTGATTACTCATAAAATTCTACTATAAAAGGTTTTTTTATTGCCGAATATGCATTGAGAGATTTTATCTTGAACGTGCTGTAAATCTCCTTTGTAGTGTCGTAGGGATCCATTTCATCCTCTGCCTGCTCAAAGCCTGAGGTCGTGGTTATAAGATAATCTAGGTGTCATTGTTTCTCATTAAAAAGAATGCGCAGAACCAATTCTAATAATTTCAACTTCACGTTGTCTTATAGCGACTTCAAGACGGTTTGGTTTTTTGTTTCATTTAACCTTTTGACCTTGAGCTGGATTTTGACACTGCTTAACTCATTTTCATTACTCCCTTTAGACAGCCTTTTCGCACAAGAATCAGCCGAAGCTGCTGGACCAATTGCAGTACTGCGAAAGTACGGGTATCCCGTTGGCGGTGCTGATCGGGGAAGCGGAACTACAGCGCGGTGTAGTCAAACTGCGGTGCGTCAGTACGCGAAAGGAGCGCGAAGTGGGACGCGCAGATCTACCCGCCGCCATTCGCGAGGAGTTGGAGGCTCTTCGTGGAGGAGCACGGCAGTGACTCTCCCCTTCACCTCGTAACCATTAATCAGGCCTATATTTTCCGCGTCAGCCATCAATGCTCCCCTGCGCGGCTGTACCGAAAATTCTTTTAACACGGAGGTTTTAATTCGAATTTGGTCACTTGAGAAAGATGTTTTGTTTAAGGCTGAGTACCATGGGGAATGCTTAATATGTGAAGATTTGGTAGACAAGGCAAAGCAGGCTATTTTATTATTACAACTTACTCGTATAGCGTCGGCAACTACACCTGCACCTTAAAGGTAATGTAGATACGCTGTGCTAGTTTACGCGAAAAGCGGAAACAGTATATACATTTTCGACTTCGAGATAGTTCCTACTGAATTAGCTCACTTCTATATTTTGTGATCTTGGAACTGCGCTAATTGCGTGTACTAGAATATTTGGAAATTAGTAACCTGAACTTGCGGTAAATACATCGCTCCAGTTTCGCCAGTGCTCAAATGCTCCTGTTTGTATTTACGACGATAAAGATAAGAACTTGGTACTAGCCGAATCAGAGCAGTGGTGCCGTCATTAGTTGTTGGATTTTGATCTCAAAATGTGGTGTTTGCATTAAGGTGAACATCAAAATGGCGCACGGTTTTACTTGATTAAGGTCTCTTTTCCCTAAATGAGGTCACTTGCTGTTTTTGCCCTACTTAAAAGATGGAGTTTGGAGCTTTTTGATCCATCAATTCCCTGGGATGAGTTTCGTATTCACTGATATGCGAAGGGTTACTTCCTTCAGTTGCATGAATGCGAAAACCTCAGACGCAAATGACGAATGATTGTCACGCATCCGATCAGGTGAGATTGAGGCGAAATTCACAGGAGATGAGGGGACGTACACTTTCACAAATGAAAGTAGCAGTCGATGTGCCGCTGTGTCATCATCAAACTCACTGCGTCGCCTTCTGGCTACACTTGTACGAACCTGTTGGGTCAGCAAACGACACGTTTTATTTTGCGATTGTTTTCGAATTCACACTAACTGGGAGTTGAACGATACAAAGTCTGGAGTTAAATCCGTTGAAGATATGAAATTGGATTACTGTGGCATTCCAGTTCAATCTCTGTTACTAAGGCTGCAAAGTTCATTAAATTATATTCGACCAAGTAAACAATACAAAATACGATCAATCCGCATGCAAAACATAGTCCAACTAGTCTAATGCGTACAGTAACTTAAGAGGATTCACGTAGGCAGCAGTTTATTTGATTGATGAGGCTCAAGAATCT